TATGGTTAATTTTTTTTTTTTTTTTTTTTTTTTTTTTTTTTTTTCTCCTACCCCCAGGAATTTCTTGAATAAATACAGTATGTATATAAATGTATATATACATAAATTTTCAACTTTCCTTTTATTGTCCAAGGGTATTTTAAGTTAAGAGAGCTCTGCACGCTGTATGCGTTCTTTGCATCTGTGGCCAGAGGCCTTTTATTATACCACTGGGCGTGGAGGGACCGCCCTGCATTAATTTATTATTTATATTATTGTTAGTGGGTGTGAACTACAGAGTCCAAACCCCTTCCCTCGGCGAGAACATCAACCAAGGGGACTTTACCTTGCCACCTCCCAGGCCTGGGCGGCGGTACTATTTCCTGGAAAAGCGGGTTAGCACAGACCTTCAGCCCATCGAAAAATTTGACGTGCCTTCGGCCTATGAACTCAGGCACCGATGGGAGCTGAAGCTCCTCTCGGATCTTTACATTCTTTGCCCTTTGCAGGGTGGTACCTCTGACTATTCGCCGAAGGATGGAGTTTTGATAACTCTGGAGTTTCTTGAGCGTGGACTTATACAGGTGGCGGAGCAACGGTGCACCATAGAGCAGCGTAGGCCTGATGACCGCCTTGTAGATTTGCAGTTTTAGTCTCAACGAGAGCTGCGCCGACTTTAGCAGATGGTAGAGCCTATACTCCTTTTTCCGAGCCAGCTTGAGCCTCTGGTTGACGTGACTAGTAAAGGTGAGGTGCCTATCCAGAGTCACGCCTAGGTAAAGGACTGAGTTGGAGATCCGCTGGTCCACTCCACCAATGGTGAAGTGAGTGGGCAGGGGCTTCTTTCCTTGCTGAAATGACATCACTATGGCATCGGTCTTATTAGGATTTACCTGTATGCCGTTCTTCTCAAGCTCCTTGACGATGGTATCTGTGGCATTCTGTGCTTTCATGAGAGCTCTCTCTGCGTTAAGGCTGGATGCATAGACTGCGATATCGTCAGCATAGGCTGCTACCACCGCTTCTGGATGTTTAAGTGCCACTACTGGCGCCGTGAAAACGACGAACAGTAATGGCCCCAACACAGACCCTTGAGGTACTCCACATGTTGTATCGACTGGGTTCGAATAGTCATTACCAACTCTTACGACGAAAGTTCTTCCACTGAGGTAGCTTCTGACCAGACGGCATAGCGGGGCTGGGAATTTGTACTCTTCCAGTCTTCGAAGTAACAGCGCGTGAGACACGCAGTCAAAGGCCTGGCTGCAGTCCAACGAGATGAGTGCCGTAGCTCTGTTGTGATTCATCTGCTCTATGGTGTGTGCCTGAAGTTTAGCCAGATGATGTTCACAGGCGACTCCGCGTTGGAAACCGGTTTGCTCTGGTGGTATAACGTGCTCTTCCTTGCAGTGACTCAGGAGGTGATAATGAATCAATCGCTCAAAGACTTTGCTGACGTGCGGGAGGAGGCTGATCGGGCGATAGTGGTCAGTCATGTCTCCTTTCTTCCCCGGCTTGAGTAGTGGCACTACGATGGCATGTTTCCAGACTGTAGGGAAGTAAGATATCCGCAAGCATGAATTAAAGATGTTCAGAAGGAAGGCTTTACCCTTCCTTGGGAGCATCTTCAGTAGAACATACGGGATATCATCATGTCCCGACGCCTTGTTTCCTTTGATACGTCGTAGTACAGACTCAAGCTGGTTAAAATTGCAGAATATGGGCTTCTCAGTGAGTCCAGGTGATGATCTCTGCTGCACCGGTGGGGAGCTTCTAGTTCGCTCAGCATCCCTTGCTGCATAACTTTTCGCCAGGTGTTCAGCCTGTTCCCCAGTTGTTAGTAGCGCGTCTCCTGATGTCAGATGCACGCTTCTTTTCTTACTAACGAAGGTTCTGACAAGTCGCCAGAACTGACGGTAATCGTCATGAGTCCTTCGTAACTGCTCGTGCCAGAGTGATGTCTTCCAGTCGCTCATGAGTCTTGCTATCTGCCGGGTCATCGCATTGATGGCCGGTTTTAAGCTGTAGTTACGAGTGCGCTGGAAAACGTTCCTCAGGTTGTTTCGCTGTCTGATCAGAACTAGGATGTGCCGTGGAGGTCTTCTGATGGCGTTGGGCTGTGGAGCAAACTTGGGAATGTTCCGTTTGGCTGAGGCTTGGATGGTGGTGGTGATGACATTTACAGCATTATCCACCTCATCTCGGGTTCTGCATGGTGTAACTGCTGGTAGTGTTTCCTCAACGCAAGATCTGTATCTCTTCCAATCGGCTTTATGAAGCAGATATTTGCTCGCGGGTGGAGTGGCGGGTGTGCCCTCAAATGTGTATAGCACCGGCCGGTGATCTGAGGGTCCATACGGTAGTGCGTGGCAATCCGTGATGGTGTGCAGATCCCTGGTGAGTAGCAGATCTAGCGTAGAGGTCCACTCAGGTCGGGCTGCATGCCTGAAGGTGTGAACACCCGGGTGGAAGACGGCGAGCCTGGTCTTTGTGATGTACGTGCCCAATGGGTTGTTACTACCACACAGCCAGGAGGTGTGTCGAGCATTGAAGTCCCCAAGGACAACATACCGACTTCTTGCCTGGGCGTGTTGTAGTAGTAATTTCACTGACGTGAGAACCGCCCTCGGTCTCCTATAGACACAGGTGAACCTGTACCGATGTTTAAATCGCACGTCTACTGTGACTATGTGAGTTCCCTCTGTAGGTTCCACTGGGTTCGTGATGATCTTCGAAGGGACATCTCTTCTGACCAGTATAGCAACGCCTTCTGTCGACCCGCGTGAGCAAACCTCCCGGTATACAGTGTACCCATGGAAGTATAGTCGAGACGAGGGGGGCATCAATGTGTCAGTCAGCGCCATCACCGATGGTCTGTGTTGCTGCAGGAAAAGCTCTACTTCAGCCTGCTTCTGTGCGAGGCCTCTGATATTGTAGGTGCAAACTAGGTGCTCAATCATGTTTTTGTTGGCTCAGCACGGTATTAAGGAGGGTTGTGATGAAGCCCATCATCTGGTCTAACCTCTGGAGCATTCCTTCGACGAGCCTGATGAGCGTTGATTGTTCATTCTTTTTAGACGGCTGGGCTGCTTCTAATGGTGTGGCAGACGGGTGGGGAGAACTCTGGGGGAAGTCATGGTGATGGGGGTGAGCGGGCTGCTGTGATTGGCTGGTTGATCCGCCAATCACCGCTGAGTATTCTAACCCCGACTTCACTAGTTGACTTGGTTTCCGTGTAGGGAGTGGCGTGGTTATTTCCTCTTTCTTCTTCTTTTGGTTTCGACGTTGGTCAATAATCTTCTTTCGGTAGGAGCATTCTTTTGAAAACGCTGGATGGTCTCCTTTGCAGTTTGAGCAATAAGGTTTAACAGTCTTGGGGCATTGTGCCAACAGGTGATGATCTCCGCACCATGCACAATGACATGTACGGCCACAATATTTCATTGTGTGGCCGTATTCCTGGCAGTTTCTACATTGTACAGGTCCAATATCTTCTTTAAAGGAGGTCACTCTAAATTTGATCCTGTTGATAGCTCCAAGGTTTCGTATATCTTCTATTTTTACAAAATGATCTACTATTATCTGAATGGCTTCGATGTCATATCTTTCACCATTCGGGGCTTGTTTTGTTAACCTTCTAGCGAGTCTGAAGCCTGGTAGTACTCTTTTTAACTCATCGATTATGTCTTTGACGTCGTAATCTACATCAAAGCCATAAAGGACAAATTTTTGGGTTCTTTTGGTTCCACGCGGGGCAAAGGTGTGGAATTCTACCTTTTTCTCACGTAGAAGTGCCTGGAGAGCTGTGTTATGATCCACCTCAGTAGCTAGGTACAATCTGGTTTCTTGCTTAGAAGAATTGGAAGAGTATTCCTCTATGTTGAGCTCTCTTAGTAGAATTCTCAGCGATGTCAGTGAAATAGGTGGCTTGATTATGATGGGTGGAGGCGGTCGGATCTTTTCATGTTGGGTAACATCTGGTTCCTGGGGCGCAAGAGCCTCGTAGCGGTTTGAAACCGGAATTCCAACAGGTACGGTGACCTCTGCGCGGCCCTTTATCTGGTGTCGCTTTGGTGGCTATTGGTAAACTTCGGCACCTCCTGATCTTTTCTCGCCCCTCGCATCCTCCTCAGCCTCCATATGGGTGTCGTGGGAGGCCATCACGTTGGGGTCTCCTTACCAGAGCGATGCTGCCCGTTTAGCTGTCAAGGTTAGTTCCAAGTGATATGAATGGACCCCAACAGCGTAAAGGCGCAATCTAAGTAAGGAGCTGGCAATCTGGCAATAGAAGTCTTCAGTAGAGGTCCTGCTTCTGCTGCCAGCTAGTAAAATAACTGTTTGATGTGTTCGTGTGGTTTATCACCACCACCAAAAATATTTAACAACACAAACGCTTTTAATTGCACGGGTAGAGCAATAGTAATAGCGTAGTGATTCTGTAAAAGGTGTGCTAAAATTTAAAATTTTTATATGGTTAATTTGTTTATGGTTAATTACAAACAAACATTTATTAAATTCATAATTTTTATTTTGTTATTAATGAGAAGCTTTCTTGCTATTTCCTCATAGATTTGAAATTTCTTAAATTCTTATTGACAGTAATAGACTTCACTTATATCTGAATTACTATGGTTATTACGAAACGTATCGGTACACAGCCGACACTAGAATGAGGTGACGATGCTGTATGCCAGTCTTACCATCCCTCAATAATAAATAGTAGTATCATAATTTTAAAAAATATAGTAAACTCTTTTACTCATGCTCCTTGAAAAATCGTAAAAATGTATATAAATCGTTTATTTGAAGACATTAAAAATAAAATTAGTCAAGAATATGAAATTAACTCAAATTAGTACAACAATCGATGTAATATCTATGAATGAAATATAAATATTAACAAAAATATTAATACTTGTAATATAGTAAAACTAGAATAATTTTTAAAAGTTTACAATTTTAACAATACATGGGGCAAGTTCCTTGATTCAGCGCTAAACTTCTTTTTCTTCTTTCTCTAGCTCCTTTGTGCCGTTAAGCGTGGAGCTGCAGTCCCAGCCCATCTTGCCCACTGGTCTCTGTCCCTGGCTAGCCTTCTCATCTCCGGTATGGTGCGTCTTCTTACTGTGCCCAGTTTTCCAATATAATCATGGTAAGTGTGTCTCGGCCTGCCACGAGGTCGTCTGCCTTCCGGTCTGGCTTCCATAAACCACCTGACCCTTCGGGTGTCGTCCATTCTGTAGATGTGCCCGAAACATTTCAACTGCTTCTCTTCCAGGATGCCACGGATTAATCTCACCTCCAATTCCTCACGGATTCTGTCATTTCTAACACAGTCCCTCTTAGTTCTGCCAGCTATTCTTCGGAAGAATCTCATTTCCGCTGCTGTGATCCTGCCTACTTGCTTATAGAGGGTTGTCCAGCTTTCAGATCCATAAAGAAGTACTGGGAGGAACACCCCCTTATATATCGTGAGTTTGGCCTTTCTGCTTACTTCCCGTTTTCGTATGATTGTATTGGCTATCTGGTAATATATCCCATTGGCCTTCATCACCCGATTTAGTACCTCCTGGTCTATTTTACCATCTTCATTGATGATTGTCCCCAGATACGTGTATGCATTTGTTACCTCTAGGGGTTCGCCATTACTTAACATCATAGGCTCCGCATTGTCTTTTCCCACGCACATAACCTTGCTCTTAGACGGATTTATATGCAGCCCTCGCAGCTTAAATTCTTCTTCCCACTCAACCAATGATGTCTGTAGAGTCTCTTGTGAGTCCGCTATAAGAATTATATCGTCGGCAGCGCTAAACGCATTGTTCTAAACTGGGCGAAAAGATGTCCTCGATGAATTCAGTGGTGAGTTTAGGAACTTATTTTAATATTTTATTATTATTATTATTATTATATTTTAAGATTTTTAAGCACACAATATTTCCCCATTACATTCTTTTTGATGTTTCAAACAGGAAAATGTTTGAAAAAAAAAATTAACTTTTTTTAATTCAGACACTTTGCTGCTATGTCCTGGAAACGAGTCCTAAACCGGTTTCAGCAGATAATCATTTATTCTTAATAAAAAGGTCTGGTGCGTTCAGCACACATCTTTCATTTACCGCTCTACATTGAATAGAAATTATTTTCTATCAATGTTGGGCTATTATAAAATTTTTAAAGTGCATTTTAACGTAGCTAAAGATTAAAGCTTACAGATAACAAATCATTAAGACGAGTGATTGCAGTGTTGAAATATAGAACTTTGAATAAAGGTTTCCCACAAGAAATATCACTAAAGTTAATAATAAAAAATGTTGATCTTGGATTTAGTCATTCTGTCAAATGAAAAGCTCATATAAACGACAGTTTCTCGCAATGGATAGGTCAAAAGTTGTCAAACTAATTAACTGGATAATGTTGGGATTACATAAAGGAGAAATTTATCAAATTACTCGCTAATTTAATGATCTAAAAGGTTACTTGATGATTTTTTGGAATAAACTGCCAATAGATACCTAATTATTTAAATATAATATTATCTCCAGAGTTATTAAACAAACATATATATAATAATAATATATAAACAGTAAATATATTTAAGATTACAAAAATATCAATAAAATATTTTTATATTTCACTTCTTCTTTCAAAAAATTACAATGAAATAGTATTTTAAACAATGGCATTGGCTCGATTCGGTGGATTTTAAATACTTTTTTTTTTCAAAGTAACAATTAGAAACAAATTTAAAAGTTTACATTTAGTAAGAAACATTGCAGAAAATAATTTCTATTCAAAGTAGAGCGGTAAGTGAAAGTTGTGTGTTGCGCACACCAATTTTTTTTTAGATAGACTGGTTAAAGAATAAAACTGTAAAGGGAATTTAAAAATAAATTTGTATATAATAAGAGATTTTTATTAATAACGAGAAGGGCTTTATACCCTCTCCGCCTAAAGACGGACCAAGCTCTATTTTACAAACATCTGTTCATTTAATTGTACTACCCGTTGCTCAAATTGTATAATTGTAATTTACATTTATTCTGTTGTTTAGATTGTATGATTCTTTTTGCAATATAATGTAAGCAGAAAAAAAAAATTACAATGTAGGAAAAAATAGAAAAATAAAATATTACACAATCACTAAAAACGTTTTAATATAATTGAAACATTGTTATGTATTTAAGTAAATCCATTATACTATTTTTAATAATTCAAGATCAATACAAAGTAAAATGCATTTTTACAGGTGTAATAAAAATCAAAAACATCGCAACAAGTCTTAAGAGGGTTAATAATTATTAACAGTTTCCTGAAATCTTTAACTGTAGTATATTATTAAAACCCTTTTCTATAAAATACAATTTTTTAACGTACATAAAAAATTAAATATTAAGATTAAATTAGTTTTGTTTAAGCTTTATCTGTTTCTTGTTGCTGCATGAGCAAGCCAAGAAAGCAATGACTAATCCCAAGATAGTTCCCAGGATAGTTTTTAAGTCAAAAAATATTAGTTCAAATGTGCTTAAGAAGGTTTCTGGAGGTTGAAGATATTTGTGATCCTCATTTTTCAGCACATGTTCTATCCAATAAGCTGCCAATTCCTTTGGTTTTGTGGGCAGATCTTTAAATATTTTTGACCATCTTTTTATTTCTTTAGTATAACTGAAAATGAATAAAATATTAACATTTTCATAAAATATTATTAATTATTTAAATAAATCCATTATAAAATCCCACATTCTACTACGTTATGTTACTATGGTTATTAATGAATATAGCCTTTACTATTTTTTTAGAAGATAAAATATTTACTAAAAAAGATTTACTGCCTTAACCAATATTTAGTACGGTAGATAAATACATAGCATACTAAATGAAACATTATGCCTGAACAGAAAAAATATGGACATTTAAGTACAGTAATTTTTTATAAAGAGTTCTCCTTATTGGGAAAATACGTCTTCCAGAACCAAAAACTCTGCTCGAAAGTGGGTTTTCATATGAATCATGAATACAATATGTAATTTATTTTATTAAGAAAAATGGTAAATATTCTTTCATTATTTCAATAAATTTGTGCTGATGTCTGCTTGTTAATTTGGTCTCTACAGTATGAAGGTAGGGTTTACACTGAAGAAATATTTGAATCATTTGTTTGTATTCATAGTTGCAATTAACTCACTTTATAGTTGATGATTGACTTTAGTGAATAATTGAGAAGGATGGTTGGGATTATCAGTCAAAATAAAAAATAAATAATTAAATTTATTGTTATATTTGCCGCAGTTTCGGCCCTTTCACCTTTTTAATTTTAATTCTTTATTATTCAATGTTTATAGTTTCTCATAACTATTTTTATCTGTTATTTTTTGGCCCTGATGAAAGCCTGAACTTCGGTCCGAAACTTTGGCAAATATAAAAATAAATATAATTATTGATTTTTACTATTTTTTATTTTGACTGAGCACCCCAACCACCCTTCTCTTCAATAATTCATTTTATGTTGATTTTGTCAACATAACCGTGACTTGACTGAAATGCTGGCGAAGGCCTTTACGGTAACGGGTTGTTGTGCCGGGATAATAATAATAATTTTGAAGACAAATTTTTATTTCTTAAAAAAATAATTGTAAATAAAACAATTTATTAACACTGCACACGAAATGAACTTTGGAATTTTGTAATATTAAGTGTAATTATATTATAAATACATAAGAACGTAGTAGTAATTACATGTGTTTGGATAATGATCCATTATTAATAAATTCATGCATGTTTGTTTGTTATTTGTAAAAAAGGATTTTAATATTATGGTACCAAAATACATCAACATACCTATTATTTGTGAGAACTTCTTCAATAGCTTGCTGAACTGAATGTTCCGACAATGTTGCGTACGACAATGCAACAGCAATACCTTTTTTCGTTAATTTTTTGGATATGAAGTGTTGATCCACAAAAAATGGCATTGAGATCATCGGGATACCATAATATATTGCTTCCTGAGTGCTTAATAGCCCATTATGTGTAATGAAGAGCTTTAAGTTTGGATGAGCTGAAACAGACTGTTATATTATCTTTTCTTACTAAGTACTAACTAGCATATAAATATTTTGGGTTGAGAAAAAAAGGTATTTCGTTTTTTTTTCATATTTTTTAAAGGGAATTTATTTAAATAAATTTCAAACACTAATCGATGGTACATGCGGCGTTTTGATCGATGGCCTTTTGCCACGCTTCTTGTAAAACTATAATTACGTCACTGTAGAAGTTATAGGATTTATGTGCAACAATTTAAGCCAAGTGATTTTCACAATCCTCTTCTGCTGACAGCTTTACACCATTATGAGAGTTCTGCAGAGACCGAAACAGATCGTAGTCAGCTGGCGCAAGGTTTGGGATATACAGTGGACGAGTCATAACTTCCCAGTCCTCTCAATCATCGCCGGGTCATTAAAAGTTTGTGTGATGGAAGACAACGCCATTCCGATTGATCGATTCTCGCCGTTTTTCTTGAATTCCCTTTTTTAATGGCACTAAGTGCTTATAGAAGTAAGTTGAATTAATGGTATGGCTAGGTTCGAGCAGCTCATGATGAACATTTCCTTTACAATCCTACAAAACAGCCAGCATCACCTTGACTTCAACCCAGGCTTTGCCACTCATTGTGAAGCTTCTCCGGGCTTTGACCACGAGCTTTTCGCACATTATTGTCGTTTGTGGTCTACTTTTTATCATCGGTAATCATTTGCTTCAAAAATAACTCGATTTTGTTTCGATTCAGTAGCGATTCACAAACGGAAACTTGGTACCTTAAATTGTTCACTGTTAATTCATGTGAAATCCAAGTATCGAGCTTCTTTTGGTATCCTTGTGTAAATGGTTCAAAACTGTTTTCTGATCGATGTTTAGTTTCATTGCGATCTCGAAAGACATTTTCACAGATTGCCCGGCCAGGGGGAGGTTCATCTTTAAAATCAACGTTCCCGGGACGAAAATGAGTAAACCAATTCTGACACTGACGTACGCTAAAGCAATCATCACCATAACATCATACAATGTTTAATGAGCCTGCGTTGCATTTTTTCCTTTACAGAAGTAAAAAAGCAAAATATGACGAAAATGACCTTCAGAAACCTCCATTTTTAAAACGCAATAATTCTTGTCTATGTATAGTAGACAATAATGAATAACGTTATTTTTATATATAGAATGTTCTATGGACTCTAAATTTGCAAACGCACAATAAAATAGTTTCATTGAATATGAATTACAAGAAATAAGACTTTAAAGTCACTTATTGGGATGGAACGAAATTACTTTTATCTTATCACAATATTTATGGTGACAAACACACGTTAAGCATAAACCAAATAAAATAATATATACCAAAGCTTGACAAATATATATGTATATATTTTATGTACTTACAAATTGTAGTAGTTGAGAAGAAAAATTGAGGATAAGAAAAAAGAATAATATATACCTAATATATCATTTTGAGAGAACCATTTGGATATTTTGACATTGTCTGGTATATTTTTGATATTTTTATCCTCAAATTTCCATAAAACTCTTTGTTTCAACTTCTTAAAAGTATTCAGAAAAATATTAATCCTGTCTTCCGACATCAACGAACTCTGGAGATTTGTACCAAGACTAAAATAAATAGCTCCATGTTTTGCCTCATCCAGAAAAGCCTGTATTTCCTACAAAATAGAAGTATGCTATGTATTCTAAAACCGCCTGTAGAATTTCATTATTTCAAAGGTATAAATAAATAAAAATCATAAGGGCTAACACCTGGGCGGTTGGTTTACCGAGGGAAAGGTAACGACCCAAATGCAACCTTTTGTAAGGAGCAATAAAACACTTAAGAACCCCAAAAGACCGACACCGCTCTTACAGGGGCCAAGAAATACTTAAGGACCGACGACAGTCTAAGGCCCGAATTGTTTAGATTGAAATTAACATTATTATCTTCGAGAAAGAAAAAAAACGGAGGTATACCTGTCATAGTACGGCCTGGGGGCGTGGTCATCCCTTATGCTAGGAAAATTCAGCAAATCAGAGAAAATTACAAAAAGAGAGGAGGATGGTAGAAAGGTTGGAAATAAGAGATTTGGATGAGGAGAGGCGAGAGAGCAACAGGAACGAAGATTGGGAGAGGCCGGGAGAGCGACCTGGACGGGGACATGGAAGGAGACTCGAGGATGATGAAGACCGCCTGAGGGAAGAAGAGTCGTCTTCCAAGCTCGATCAAATATGTTATATCCAGTTTCTGATATAGATCACACAGCTATCAATTATTCCTCCGCCTCCATTCGTTGTTCTCATACACACCGTCATAAATTCAGCGTAACACTTTAGTTCAAATGTGAGGAGAAGTTGATCTTGAGTCCTTGTTCAGTTGTGGTCCATGTCTCCAAGTAATGATACAGTACAGGTCGAATGAGAATCCTATATAAAATAATTTTTGTTCGTCTAGTAATCAAATTGCTGGAGAAATACTTTCGAAGTCCAAATTATCAGCGATTGGCAGCCAATGTTCTCATAATCTCCACGGCTACGTCGTTGTTACAGGTTACTATTGATCTCAGGTAGACAAACTCTGAGACCTGCTCAAACCAGTAGGCGTCAAACAAAACATTGGTAACAGTCAATCTCGGAAACTTATCCGAAACCTGGTACTTGGTTTTAGCATTGTTCACAATCTGTCCCATCCTTCTCGCAGCATTTTTTTTTTCACTCGAAGCATCTTCCACATTAAGAAATGCCTCCTCTATTGCTTGCTTGAATCTTCCCACAATATCTATATCGTTTACGCATGCTAATATCTGTCTGTCCCACGCCGTACATGAAGTTTCTACCTGAGAGTCTTTATTGCTTTTTCGAAGGGCCATGTTAAAGAGTAGACATGCCAGAGCGTCCTCTTGCCTCTGGATGGAAATTTCGATGATCTACCATGTACCTAGACCAGTCAGTTCACATTTTCGATCTTCAGCTTTATGAGTCGTATGAGCATTGGTGGACCAGTGATGTTATATAATAAAGAGCTTTTCTGTGTCTATCATAAACCGACTTAAGGTAAAACAAGAGAAGACGTTTGGGCGTGTACTCCATTCCCCAGGAAATCCACATTGTTAATGACCAGCCTGCCATTCAATAATTGGGAGAAGCTGGCGAAATAAGACATTTGAAAGTATTTTAAATGCACAGATGCACAGAGATATCTCCCTGTTGTTACTGCATCTAAACACATCTCCCTTCATGTGTATGGGACAAAGCACCGTTTTTCTTAAGTTTTCAGGTAATATTTCATCGGTATAAATGTTGATTAGTATGTTGTGTAAATGCTTCACAAGTTCCATTGATCTCAATTTAAATAGTTCCTTAGGTAGTAAATCTAGCCAGGAGTCTTATGATTTTCCAGGTGACTAATTGCCGCCACAACTACATCCTCATCAAGTGGTTCCAATTTGCCTCCGTAAAGCTGATGTTCAGGCGGATACACGTCTCTTCTCCTCGGTTTAGTATGGTCTCAAAATGTTCCTTCCATTCCTCCTTGCCAGCTTTATCTTCGGTCAATAAGGTTCCTTCCGCATTCGTAAACACACATAGTTGTGTCTGCTTAAATGGCTTACTAGTAGCATTGACTTTGTGGAAGAATTTTCTGGACTCCTTTGCAGATCTCAACTTCTCAAATAACTCTAAGACAGCGTTACTTCGTTCCTCTTTTTTCTTCGATGACCATGGGCTTTATAGGATGCATTCTTTGCGTTTATGACTTATTGAATACAAAGGAAAAGGAAAAACTCATGAGTACCTAATAAACAAGTGGGCGAGATCTCTTTGAATTTCTTGCGGAGTTCATGAAACAGTATTACGCACACCGATATAGCGCTGTGTATATAATGCAGAGATATTAATAGAAATGGAGAAAGATGTCTCGACTTGAATTACTTTATTTTTTAACGTCTCTTGGATTTAATCAGCGAGAATCTTATTTCTTAAGTTCAGTAGATTGCTTATCAGAAATAAGTTTTCAGAATTATAGTAATAGATAAGAAATGCTTTACGAACTTAGTCACGATTTAATCTGTTCGATTAAAATTCACAGCCAACTTCGTACAATGTAAATAATTTAGAATATAAAATTAAACTTATATTTATTCAAATTTTCAGAAAAATGGATTCTTACCGCGTCTAGTTTTTTGGGTTCATCGATGTGAAATCCTGGAATATGGACGATTGCAGGACTGTAGTACTTGGCACCATCAAGAATAGGATGTGCATTGACGAGTGCCACGGCTGCTGACTTACCAATCTCCAGGACATGAGGGGTCGATTGTCCAAATACCTCTTTGGAATAACCGTCTATCAAATTCTCATATTTGTGAAAGATATAATAATTGTAGAGGGTATAGAATAGGTTCTTGAGTTTCTCGTCGAAACTCATCGGATGACTGAAATGGGTAAGCTGCAATGGAGAGTGCACCATATGGCCTTGGCTGCCCTTCATGTTGAGGACCTGTAATTCACCAAACACCGTCAGTAAAACAAGCTTCGGGTTCCCTAGATAGGGCACAAGTCCCAAGAAGCAGTCGCAGTATATGTCATGGACAATCAAATCGAATGGTTTCTTTTCATTCGAGTGTTCGGATAGAAAACGTTTAAACGTTGAAGACAATAACATATTCCTACAGCTTACTAAGCCAACTTCATGAAGGAAATCCATGGCATATTTAGGAGAATCCAATACTGATAATTCTACGTAATCCAATTCTTCATGGTATGTGTAAGCCCCTTCAAGGGTGTAAGTCGTCAAGTTCACCAGCTTCTTTCTTGGAGGATCCGTGTCCAGAATAGTGACCTGAAAAAAAAAATTAATATTAGGAGTATTTATGCAACCAGTGCTTAATTATTAGAAACCTCTTAAATGTGTTAAAGTCGAGAAACATATTTAAGTTTTGAGTGTTAAATATGGTACCTAACTAGAGATGGGAAATTCGACTCTTTTGACTAAATCGATTAATAACGATTCAATCACTGTAATGAATCGATTCTCATGGACGATTCTTCGATTGATTCTTTTCATCTTTTCTTTAAATTAAAAAAGAATTTTTTATTAAAAAAAGAAAACAATAACAGACATTCTCAAACCTCATGGTAATTCAGGCAAAATCATTTTTTTTTTATACAAATATATAATAATATATACAAATAAAAAGTCACAAATCTTATAAATATCAAGGAAATTTAAGTTGGACAGAATTTTTTATATTTTTTTTATTTTACACATTAGATTTTGGCCTGTGTATGTATACATTGTAAATGAAATGAAATATAATTTTATTATCCTGTGGCTGATGACCCTGTAGAAATTATAAATGTAAAATAAATAAAACACGACAATATAACCATACTTTAAATTAAATAGTCATATAATGATAGCTAATTAAAAATAAAATACATGGGAGAACAAAATTGTGGATATATGTGAATAAAACAAACAGAGAGAAAAAATAAACACAATAATAATATAAATAAGCGTAGGTTATAAGTGTCCAAATACAAAATGCTGGTGGAAGAGTAGATTTAGTAGAGTAGGAAAGTAAACATAGCCTAACACAAAATTGAACAGGACTAGACGATTTCCTAGAACAAACTGGTTAATCGGGCAATCCTTGTGAATCAGGAATCGGCCGATTCTTAAAGAACCAAGAATCGCAGTTCCCTAAGGAATTGGGAATCTCAGTTTCCTAAGGAATAGAAAATAGACGATTCCTGAGGAATCCGGAATCGGAAATCGCTGATTCCAACCAAATCGGTGAATCGACTAGATCAATTCGCCGGATTTGTTCTACAAAATTTTCCAGCTTTATGGCAGTGTTCGATGAGTTGTTTTGATTACTTTCTGAATCTACTCTGCTAATAGCATTTCGCCCTTTGTAACCATACGCTTATTTACATCATTATTTTGTTTATTTCTTATCTCTCTGTTTGTTTTATTTATATATGTGTCCAGTTTTTTCTTTCTTATAATTTTATTTTTAATTACCTATTGTTATGTAAATATTTAATTTGACATTTCAATTTTGTTTATTTATTTTTTCTTCTCTCTGTTTGGTTTATCTATATATGTACGGAGATGTTTTTTCTCTTTTGTACTTTTGCTTTTAATGTTACCTATTGAATCGAACGATTCCAAGTGAATCATAATTTTTCCCTTGATTTGCTTGAGAGTTCGATTCCTTCGGAAGAGTCGACTCTTTGATTCGATTCTGGGTTCACCTATCCATCTCAATCCCTCACATACTCGATTTCAATATAACCTGGGGTCTGTTCAATCTTATGCGAATTTCTTAAATGTGTGGGGAAGGTTATTATGAAGTTTTCATCTTCTATTTACAGTTGTTTTAAGTGGAATGCATTAGCGAATCCAGGATTAAATTTTGGGTTACTGGACAAACGCTCTAACCTTCCAATCAATTATAAAAGACTGATTTACATGACTATAATAAGGCCTATTTGGACTTACGGGGTTGAGCTATGGGGCTCCACCAAACCTTCAAATTCCTCTCGCATACAGTCCTTGCAATCCAAAATCCTTCGTAAAATCCTCAATGCTCCTTACTTTGTTACAAATAAAATTATCCATAATGACCTTAATGTTCCTTATGTATCAGATTTGGCCCAATCCAGATATCTGTCCTTCCATAATAAACTTCATAACCATCCCAACCCTCTTGTCTCTAACCTTGCTTCCTATTCGATTCCTGATAACCCTCAGAGGCGTCTGAAAAGAAGATGGCCACGTGATCTTCTAATATAGACATATTATTAGAGTGCTACCAATGGGTAGTTTCTCAACATGTGTTCCATGTGCAATACCAATGTGCAAATTTACTAGATGTATTTTTTTGTATACAGTTGTAAATATCATTTAAAATAAATAAAAAAAAAAAATAAAAAAAATTTTGGGTGCTTCAGGTAGAACTCTCTTTTTTATATTTCTGTAACGATAATTGCTTGGGAAGAAAAAGAAAGAAACTATCTATGTGAAATGGTGTTTAAGTGATTCTTGAAGTCTTATTTGAAATATAATTACACGAGCAATAATACTTTTAGAGATAATTTTTTCATATGACCTGGTTATATTTAGTAGCTGTATAATATACTTGAAAATAGAAGATATAGTGATTTTTTTTTAAGTATTCAGCTTCGATCACTTAAAATAACAAATATGGACAACAGAAAAAAAATATACATATATTTTTCATTTTGGTGAGCTTCAGCCTACCAAGCTCCTCCCATGTAGATCCCCCAGTGGTGGAATGGAATGGCAAAATAAGATAATAATATATTTATATATTTATGGAAAATCTAATGAAGTTCGTAGTGAATAATGTTTTTCTTTCACATTCATTTTAAATTTATGGTTTTCACACTTCAGGTCTTAAACAGTGTACAATCATTTTTTATTTATTTAATGGAATTTACAACTGTATAAACAATACAACTAGTAAAAATGCACACGTTAGAAATAATGACATGAACAGACTCGAAGAGATACTGCCCATTGGTAGCACTCCCTATTCAATTCTAGGTGAGAAGATCACGAGGCCATCTTCTTTTCAGATGACTAGGTGGCTTATCAGGAATCGAGGAAGAAGCAAGACTGGAAACAAGTGAATTTGGATGGGACTGGAGTTTCTCATGAAAGGATAGGTATCTGGCTCGGCTGAAACATTTAAGATCTATATGAATGGTTTTATTTGTGACAAAATATGGGGCATTAAGGATTTTACTAAGTATTTTGGATTGTAAGGATTGGATACGATAGGAATTCGATGGTTTGGTAGAGCCCCCAAGTGTACAATTTAAAAACAAAATATGTCCTTAAAATTTTAAAGTTGCAAGTGAAACCCAAGTTATCACGAGTGGAATTTTGGTTTAAAATTATTATAGTTAATAACACATTAGTATAATGGCAGGAGTGAATGTTCTCTCAGGATCCATACCAACTGTTTAGCACCATAATACATTTATCACCTGTTACTGGATATTTTTATTATACAAAAAGAAAAACTAAATAAATAACAAGGCATACAAAATAGGCCTTCATGGCCGGGGTGCATTTTGCCACAAGAAAAAAATTACTAAAGTACTCCCCCAATTAAAGAATACATCTGACATATTTATGTATAGTTTGTATCAGCTATATTAAAAAAAAATAAAAGAAGTTAATACAGGTGATATTAATACTTTAATGAAAAGTAAATCAATTTTTTTGATAAAATAAATTGATTTTTTTTCTAATCAGGCCCTAACGAAGATCTGCAACTTAAGCCAAAACAATGGCACAAAATAAAATATTTTTATTTGTATTTATCACTGTGATTTCAACTACCAACTACACAACTTTCCAAACGAGGATATTATTACAAATTGATCAATAAAAAAATCCCTGTGTGAATGAATGATTCTAAAAAAAATCTTGATGAGCAGCGCGTATAACTCTCCATACTGAAAATTGCGTTCTTCCTTAATGATAATTGAAGCTCTTGAACGTTGGCCATTGCCCTGCAAATCAAACTGACGGGAGGCCGGTCCTCAATGACAACAAGGTTGCACCACAGGCGTTATTTTTCAAAAAGTTATTGTGATATTTATTTCATCTAAAGTACGATATAGGATTCGGCGCTTTTAATTTTAGCCCATACACAATTCAGCTCTTATGATAAATTTGAAGTTTCAAAACAATGAAATTATAAATAATTTTCAATGTGAAATTTACAATAAATTTAAAGGTAGAAAATATTGAAAAATTACAAAACAATAAATAGTTACACAACAACAAGTATAAAATATTAAAAAGGTACAAAACAATTTACAAAAAACAAAAAGAATTTTGCTAATATTATTTCGATGAGCTTCGTATGCATAACATTTATTATGCATAATTATGCATGAAATTCACTATATGAATGAAAATTTAAACGACTTTAAGTAGAGATTTATTAAAACTTATCATCAAAATCGATAGAGCCGTTTTGAGCTACAGTCCCTTTATAAAATCATAAATAGAAATAAAGTTATATTTATTTTTTCTTACTTCGTGCTTTCATTTTATTTCATTCATCTACTTCGTTTTTTCACTATAGTACTTATAGTATTAACTTAGTAAGTGAGTAAAGAACCAAAGCTCCGATGTACCAAACAAATAGGTCTTGAGCATAGCCGCAGAGACTCTCCATTCTGGTTGGGGGGCAATGTACTCCCCAATAAGAAATTTCTGGAGTTTATATGACGTATAAAAATTACGGGTCATAACTAACATAATCAACAATCAACATATAGTAAAATCAAAAGTATAATCCTATATATAAGAATAATATAAATCATTTGAAGAAGCCAGTTGCAAATGTGGTTGTGGTATCGGATTCCCTAAGTACTCTGAAAGCCATGAATAACATGTATCCAGACCATCCAGGGATACACTGCATTTTAAATCTTATAAAAATGCTTCATGGAATTGGAACAACGGCACATTTTATCTGGTCGCCTGGCCATATAGGCATTAAAGGAAACGAAATGGCTGATAGAGCAGCAAAAGAAGCTCTTACTCTTCCAGGCCGCGGTAAAGCTTTTTTGACACCATCTGAACTTGCACGACCTCTAAGAGAAACCATATCCCAAGAATGGCAAAGACGGTGGGACAACAGCGCACCTAGCAAATTAAAGACAATAAAGAAAGAGGTGCAACCGTGGACCAGCTCCAGACGCAGCAGTCGTAGAGAAGAGGTCGTCCTCACGCGGCTGAGGATCGGACATACTAGACTGACACACCTCCACCTCATAACAAAAGAT